AATCAGAACTTCCTTCCACCTTAAACTTTTTGACATTGAGATAGATGTTGAAGCGTAGAGGACAAGGGATTCGGCGTTAATGAACTCTTTTGGGATGCGCCACGCATTCTCCTATTCAGTGTCGTGGTGTGGCGCCACTTGTCACACACCACTTTCGTGCGAAAAAAGCACTAGCTCAAAAATGCTTGATGCACCTACCACATTGGCCAGGGGGTAGAAGGCGAATTCGATTCCTATCTTCGTCAGCGCTTCGAACATTGTAAGGATTGAGGTGGACTCGAGAAGAATGCTTCGAGGCACCAATTCGGCAGCATAGAACCGTGAAAGCGATCCGATTCCACACGCGCTGATCAGAAGAACTGTGGTCAGGCCAACCAATGTCGCAATCTATAATAAAAATAAAGGTTAGTAGGCTTCCTAAAACTCAATGGACACATAACTACCGTACCCTCCAGCTTGGTCCAATATCGATTCCGACAATCATTAACCCGAGTGAAATAAAACAAACGATTGTGGATATGATAAGCAGCGGCCGTCTACCGAAACGGTCAACCAGCAGCACCGGTATAAGGGTTGTAGGCAATCGTGCAAATCCTAAATGCAAATCATCAGTAGGAAGAAAGACGGGGTTTCATGAAGTAACGGGGGCACGTGGTGCGGTGGTTCATACCGCCTGAAAAATCCAACTTTTCATAAGGGAGGGAAGCTCCGGCAGTGGGTGTAAAAACGGAAGCGAATGGTTCACGCACCCCGGGGATTCCTTCCCTTGCAGAAATTGGAATTTCTGTAAGCGGCAGCAACTGCCACACCACATGCTTCCCTAACTAGAGGAAACATAATATGTAATACAGCTCCGCGATTTCGCAAGAGCAGCAAAGGTAAATATTGAAAAATAAAAATAATATTATTATTGTACCTATCATCAGAGATTCAAACAGCGCAGCTTTGTGCGACCAGCCAGCCATTGAATAGAGGATAAAAGTAGAGTATGCACGGATACATCTGGCACCAGTGAAGACGTATGCGATCTTGAAATCGTATGCTGTTCGACTAGAGTTCTGCCCATAAAAGAAAAACGAATCACCTTGACCATCACGCCCAGCCAGGCTCCATGACGAATAACCTGGGACAATGGATCGCGTGCCTTCCATGGCATGAATAGTATAGCCATTGAGCTGTGCTCAGTTTTGATGACGCCATAGTCCGCCTAAAATGCTTACGCTGATTACGTTACCCAATATCCTTCTGAAAGGTCAACCCTGATGATGCTCGCGACAAGCTCTGCATAGCGCCCACATTTGGAAAGGGTCGAGCCAGTTCCTTCTCACAGACCACAGGAAATTCAGGTGAAGGATGTGAGCGCCGCATTGCGGCTCCCTATGCAGGATACTAAAGCAACACACCCCTTCATTACTTAGAACTTAGGTGAACAAATGACAGCTTTATTAGGTGATAGTTAGAGAAATACAATCGAGCTGGCTATATGGTGGCAGACCGCATGACACTGTATCTACGGTGCATATGGAAGTAAGAGCCGTTCAATGGCCCAGGTTCTACTCGAGGGTGTTTTTGCGTTTTTTTGATGCGATCTCATTTGAATGGTAAATGTATTGTTCGTGTAGAATTCAGTGGCCCACACTTTTATGGGGAAATTCCTCATTCACCTTACCAGCGTTCCACGTACCCCTTCCATCCCACATGAATGTTTTGCAAGATGGAATGGGGAGGGGAACTTTTCAAAACAATCCCTGTTTTCATCTTCATCACTTAGTCATTTTTGCTTAAAGGGCAGCCTCGGATAACTAAAACTCGGATAAGATTGCTGTTTAGGGAGAATTTCGTCGAAAGTGTGACTGCGGCTGCCACGGACGCTGAAGGGAAAGGAAAGCTAGAGAAATCTTTGGATCGCTGAAATTAAGGCCTTAGCCTTCGAAAAGGTCGGATGTGGAACGATGGCGAGGCAGGGCGGTCAAAGAAGACAAAACACGCGAGAGATCACGCCGTTCGAGAGAGCACGCCGATGTCGAGGTGGGTGGGAAGCGTTGCAACGAAGACAACGGACCTTACAATCTCCCTCGCGGTACCCTTCCACAGTCCGGGCTATCCGGGGTTTGTCTTTTAAGTTCGGAATTTACGAAGAGAGAGCAGCTCATTGTAAATTGAGTCAGAGATGGTCAGTGATGCCCAAAGGAAGAAAATACGAGAAAATGGCGACTGGAACCTGCGATGAATGAGAACCCTTGTCTGGCGCCCTGATTGCACTGATGGCGACTCCATTCGGTGCTGCCCTCTTCAATGCTAACGCTCTCTCGCTGAACGGCCAAGACTCAAGCAGCGAAAGGGGGCTTACTGCGCCGCTAGCGCGTCATTAGATTCGTTAGGAGGCTTCCTGAACCTCGGCGGGGGATACGTTCGCCCGAGGACTGAAGCTTCGTTCTGGCACCCGTTAAGGAGTCCTGTCTTCGCCATTACGCAATTTTCCGCCTGCCTCCGACTTTCGCAACTGGTTCCCATGAAACTCCTGCATTACCTAAACTGACGACACAAAACACGGACTTAGAAATCCCAGGTCACTTTCCTCAGCTCCAAACTCGTCAATTCAACCACGGCTGAGCAGTCACCGTTGCGAAAACTATTTCGTGAAATTCCCGTAGCTAGACATTTTCACATATCAAATGTGAGGCATGAATGAGAAGCAGTTCTATTAATTCGTAAGCTCCTTCTGGGCCTTCTTGTCCAGTTCACTGGATAAATGTGAATCATCAAAAGATCGCGTACTGGAGACGAAGAAGTTCTGATAGAACTACTGTTCCGGGGCAAAGTGGCTAGAAAAGGTACCTTGTACTAACAACGCTTTCTCGCGATTTCTTCGGAGCGAAAAGATATGGAAATGTTAGGACTCCTCAAGATCTGCGCTAATAATCCTCAAGTAAGACCTTAGATATTCTTGATCGAAAAACCCACCAAATATTCTTTTATCGGGCTGTGCAAACGATCCTTTAGGTTTGTACGTATGTGTGCGAAGGGTTCCCCATCCACAAGAAGCCTGTCGCGCTGGCGAGAAGGCAGAGACAGGTGGTTGAGCGGGCAAGTAGACGCGCGTGAGCAGTGTGGGACGTATTACAATATATTCCTTTCAACATGACGCTAAATCGCCACACACAAGCTGCGACTCGTCCGCTGAGCGGTCTACGTCTCAGCCTTTTCGCCGCGCGACGGGCCTCCTGTCGGGCATCCTGACTTGCAGGAAATAATGCGTCCAGCTATTCCAACCAATCAAGTGTTTGAATTCGAAAAGATCTCTTACCTTTTTCTTGGCCTTTTCCTCCGTCAAGGCTCCTCCTCACAAATTCGAATTTCGGCATCGAGTGATGAATCGTCAGCAGTGACTCCGTGATAAGCCGCCAAAGCTTTCCTAGCCTAGCGATAGCATACATTTATTAGTATGATTTTTTTGCTGGCTTGTGAGGCCATGGAAATATAATACAAAAGGAAAGTTTGGAAACCTACTTGTTCTGGGTCGCCCGTTTTTTGTATGATATATTGAGGCGAATCATGAAGGAAGCCAAACATTATCATCGACGCTATTACGAAAGCGACATTCGGCAGAAAAATCCACGGCCACAGAGCATCGTCCGCAAAGGGCACTCCAAGCGCTTGTGTTATTAAGGCACCTGAACAAAGTATCGCTTAGGATCGTCTACTTACTCACAGAGTCATCACTGTGTAAAGTCTTTGCTATCCCCGAATATAGAAAATTATAAACGATCTAGGATCGCAAGTTCTGAACCTGACTGGAGTTATTTTTCTGGCTTCTTCAATTGGGACTACTCTTACGAGTCGTTATGAAGAATGGAGGGCTCGGTCGGCCGCAACTAAAGAATTCCGTAACGACGGCGGACCAGTTTTCGGACGGGGGGTGAGGGGGGTGCATTTGTGATTTCTAGAGGGCCTTCACTCTTTGGAAGAAATCTGCCTAAATGGGTAGAATTTGTTTTCTAGACTGCTATTGCAGCAACACTTTTGCTGCTCGCAGTACTTCACCCCCGGTCGTTCAACTATGGCTCTATTTGGGAAAATCTCGTGCGGACATTGGAGTGTTTAGTGTTTCGAGTCGGCGAGAACGCTATAAAAAATAGTACCATCGTCGCATGAGAAGGGCTTCGGGAGGGTCTGTAGTAGGTCTTTCCAGAAGTCGTATGAATTTTTGAAACTGGACGGTTGACCTTGATCCAAAAGTAGTGATATCTCAAGGAACCGCCTTTTAGGTTTGCCCCTTCCATCTGGTTTTCAACCAAGATTGTATAGTTGTCGGTAATTCGTATTTAATCTAACTAATCTGACTAGTAATTCTAAATGAATATAGTGATGAATTAGTAGGATGAAGCGTGAAGCTCGGCGCTATCTGTCCCTTTTTTTGGGATACGCCCCGCCGGCCATCCGCCTGCGTCCATGTCAAATCGCAAGGGAATTCAATCACGTTCTATGTCTACGATACGATGACGTGCAGGCGAGGCAGCAATGCAAGAAAGGTTGCATCCTCGCAATCCATTTCAGTACCTATTTATCGACTCTTGTGGATGCAGGCCTTGTTAGTCTAAGGCAGAATTCATCCCGAGTTTGACCCTCCAACTGTGTGCATGGGAAGTGGGGAGCTTTATTAGGTCGGTCCATAAGTCTTGCAACAAACTACATTGCAATGCTATAGAATTTTAGGGAGAACTCCTGAAAATCCGCAACATATTTCCTGACGTAGCATCAACCTTTGCAATTTCAGCCAACGGTCCAGCTCGTTGTCTGCTTACTTATTATGGATATTACACCGATTTCGCGAGAGGGCTCTCGGTGCCCTTAATTTTTACGAGTGCTGCTTGGAATGTTCCGCAAGTCATGCTAGACCAAGGATTGGCCAGAAGATAGGCGAGGGCAGCTCTCTCAAACCACAGTGCAACGGCGCTTCACTCTGCTCAGCGTTGACTTTTTTATTTGAAAATAACCCACACTCCAACCACCCTGTGACTGACAATCACGATGCTCTATCTGACGCCGTTGAAAAGGGATCTGGATAGAGTATCGATCATTTGCTAGAGCGATTCCGATGCGACAAGGAGACAGCACTGTGGCATCTCCAAAGACTTGTGAAGATCCGAAAATGTAGAGTTTGGTCCCCACGTGCCTTGAGCCCGATTCAGCTCCAAACACGATCTGACACCGTTATGTTCAAGTCGACTTACTAGGGATTCTACGATTGACCATCCATCACATTTGCCGAAGATGAGGAGTGGGTACAGTTTACTAACAAATGAACAAGCGGCGGTAGTCCAGCTCAAACGCTTCGGGAGATCTTATTGCTTAAGTTCAACCTCGTCCAAGTAGGGCCTTCTCGGATTTTTGGTGGAACACGGGAGGAGTTAAGCTCTGGAAACCCCTCCGTGTAGATGTCGCAGTCAACGCGAAAGTCAACTATCCACAGCTCGAATGCAACGCTTTTAATACGAAAGAAAAACAAGGCAAAGTTTGCTTTTGTATGACACCGTTGAACCACCTCTTGCTAAGAAAATTCAGAAAAATTTTGAGACCCTAGGACGGGGAGTTCTTCTGTATCCACGTTATAGCCCTGACCTCGAGGCAAATAATGCCCTTCTGCTCCCCTCTCCAAACCATCTCCTAGAGAAGAAAGCTCATCCTAACTATGATGATGTCAAAATCGACATCTGATCTTTCTTCGATCAGAATTCAGTAGAGTCCTACAAGGGAGGCATCGAGCAGCTACTAGTGTGTTGGCAATAGGTTGTAGATATTGATGGAGGGTAGCATGCCGGATGAATGGAACAAAAAGATAATGAAAATATTAAATTCAAAATTCGGCCAGTTTGTTGCAAGACTTATGGACCGACCTAATATTACCATTACCAACAGACAAATCAAACTGGAAACGAAGAGGGTTAAGCAGGGGTGAGGCGGTGAAATGTGACGCTACCAGCGGGAGTATTCGGCCACCGAGTTGAGTAAAATCGAATCTGTTAAACGCTGACATTGACTATCACTGAATAGTGATTCCAAGGCAAAATACATCTAATTGCAGCTATTTCCGATCCAAAAATAGAATGGGTAGCGCCGAGAGCTGATTGATCAAGGTTGAGCGAAATACGGTCCACGGATCGTCCACGTGATAGTGGCGCTGCTTGCTACTGCGCCATGTACAGCCCTACTTGATGTGCCGTAATTCTATGGTAAGAATTGGTGACTGGCCAAATTGACTAAGGTGATCAATAAAATCATCACTAATTTACAAGAGGAATTACAGAATAGTAAAAATAATTTCAATTAGTTCAGGGATATTAGACAAAAAAGACGAGTGCTTTCAGACTCTCTATGAGTTTTTTCAATGTTTTTCTCCCTTCTTTGTCGTTGTATGGTTTTATATTACTAACCTCGCACCAGTGTTAATGGCGCACCTATGTGCAATAAATAAATAAATAAATAAATAAATAAATAAATTAATAAATATTTCTCACCAATAGCCATGAAGAATTCCTGCATTGCCGCCATCCGGCCACGTATGGCAGGAGGTGCACATTCCACGATCCAAACAGTTGCATTGACGCTGTTTATTCCACAGGCGAGAGACCTAAACAAAAGTTGTTAAAGAAATGACGACATTTTTCAAAAAAATTCAAAAGCATACCAAAGAATTCTCCCAACGAACAACATCTCGAATGCAGGAAAGCAGATTTTTGAAGCGGCACTGAGGAGCGTGGCAGGAATGTACAGAGCACTCGCCAGCAATGCCGTATATCTCCTACCGATCCGTCTGCAGAGGTAAGCAGCCAAAAACTGCCCAAAAATCATTGCTATCGGAAAGCAGATGTTGAGAAAGGACCACAGCATATCCTGGAAGAAGTAAGACTTATACGTCGGGTGCAATTGTGCCAAGACTAGCAAACCTACAAGGGTTCCTGATCCCATTGGATGGCCAGTTCGATAGATCCATGACTCGTTGATGAATTTTTGTATTTGAAGATATGGTTGATTGAGAACGGATGCTATATATCCCTGTTGAAATCCTGCTGAAAGGCACAGTGCCAATGAGAGAGCTTGTATTGTCCAAGTGGCCATCGATGCTTATGCTTACTGAAAGCGCCTATCTTGTCGTGGGTAATACTGAGGGTTTACAAACGGATATAACGACAAAATCAGCCATCAAACAACAAAAATTGAGCAAGAGACGGGCTAACAAGGAAAAAAGCTCTGGATGCTCGCATGGACAGATTGGAACCTGAAGGTCACAAGACCCGTTCCGATGAGAAACTTTGCAAAGTCGATAGCAGAGATGGGATGTGTCTGGGCGCATTGAAAGATCGGAGAACACCTTGATTTCGGACGCCGAGAGAGAAATTGGGTTATATTACTCACGAATCTGTGTCTCTGTTCACCTAGCAAGTGCTAGCAATGGAACAGGATTACTAAAAAAAGAAGGGGGTTTTGAAAATGCTTAGGCCCACATTTGATAACGTACGGGCCTGGAAAAAGGATGCCTTAAGTAGTTTTACCACACACGCCCCCGTTCTGCCTTATCACTCAGCAAAACTTCCTGTTCACTGATTTATGGAGGAATGTTATGACATGAGCGAAAACTTGTTCAAACAATTCGCACAATCAGAATGGCATGAAAGCTCACATCAGCACTGTAAATAGCATCTGATCTTACAGTAAACCTAGGTGGGGTAATATTGGACCTATGAGCCGCCCCAGTGCGCCAAATTAGCTCTTTGGGCGACATGTCGGATTTCTCGCCCTTACGAAAAGTTCTAAAGTTTAAGTTAGAACGAGAAGGGTGAAGTAAAATTTGCTTACAAACGCCTACCAAAACGGGAGGTAATTATGAGTTAATCAGTGGGAGAAAAATTACATAAAAAATTTGAACACTAGCTGACATCAGAGTGGAACGGCGTTCCTCAGGGGTTATGTCTGGAAACTTACTGAGCGCATTTCATTCTTTGCATTGATTCTCGAATTGACCTTCAAGAGTCGATGAATGGTAGGATTGAAGATCATTGCCTCGTTCATTATAAGAGGCTTGAAAGTAATTTCTGCTAATTTCATCAGAATATCAAAGGAGTGCTGCAGGGACAGGCGCAGCCATCATCCTGAAGTTAGTTTAGAAATGGCTTGATGGTAAGGGAGTAGAAGAAGGCAGTAGCAGCGTTAAGGGGAGCAGTGGTAGCCGGCTTGAGCCGAGAATCGAATTCCTCGGAGCCAACCAATACATTCATCGTATTGACTTCACACGGGAATACAGACATCAAGAGGAAGCAAACTGTGGTAGTGGTTGTTTCAAGGCTACTTTTCACACTTTCTGTTGGAGAACTTGAAATACCACCCCTCTTTGCTAGACGGATTTTGGAGTTAAGGGTAGAGTGGAGTTCATCGGCTACTAGCAGGTTCAAGAACGTGCCGACTAAGCGACTGGTGGAGAGCAGGGAGGGATACAGCGAAAGGTAAAGGCCTCAAAAGGGTCTTTTTGTTACTGTGGAGCCCATACTTTACTGCTGCCTTTACTTTGCACATCGTGGAGCGGATCATACATGTGCTAACTATTCTTGATGGGAAATGGAGGAGCCGCTTAGTACGATGAAGCTAACCAGCGACGTGCAGTAGGTCTTCTGCCACCGTTTCAGCCAAATGTTTTCGACGTGCACTGGAACCTTTTCCCCACCTTTTCCGCCTACTCAATCAAATTGTCGTCTGATAATGCTTCCCTTTTTCGGGACAGATGACGTAGTTATTTTAACGACCATTAGTGGGCGCCGTTTCGTCTCTCGTGACGCGCTTAATGCGGCAAAGTTCTCCATTAACGACATCCGGAGCTACGTCTCCCTCGAGGAGCCACTCTGGATGTTCCGCCGGGTTTAACACAAAAAATGATAACGTGGTCCTGTAAAGACTTTCTGGAGCTACTCATTGCTGTTGTGGAAGCAACAAAAGAACACCTCTATTTGTTTGGGAGGTTAAAGATTAAAGGATAAAGGATAAAGCATTTGCCGTTGATCAATCCCTTTTTGGGATGCGGCACGCATTCTACTTCCATTTGTACATTCGTAGTGGCGTTTGAATGCGATGTGGCCTATACAATGACTTGCGGGGGCCAGCCGATGTACAAGTCAGTGTTTTTATCCTCCCAGACAAGTCTGGTACCAATTAACCGACCCCGGAGGGATGGAAGGCTTGGTTGGCCCGGGCGACTCACGACCCAGGATTTGATCCCCGGACCGCTCGCGTGGTAAGCGTGCCACTTGCCACTACACCACTTCCGCCCGTAAAGACTTGCACAGCAATAAATAAAACTTGATTCTTATACACAAAATCGGAATGATACATTGATTTTCTTTCACAAATACCCCTTTCAAATATGCAACTTAAATTATATTTCCCCAGCTAGCGCCCTTCCCTTCCACTACCCCCGTTTCCGCCACACTAAGCTTTGTTATTTTTCTGTCTGCAGCGCTTACGCATAAAGTGCATGCTTAATGCTTTTAACACTGTTTGGGTATACACCAAAGTACAGACACCAAAGAACTATTGTTAGCGAGTAATAGCAGCACTTGTGCATACATACATAGTTGCTTTCTTTACCGTACGGACGTTTTTGAGCGCTGCAGATGTTTTAGTTCCTACGCTGCCCTTAACCACGGGTCATAGCTAAGAGAAGGTCGGTTGGCACATGTCATAACTTCAATGGCAGCAGCCTGGCAAGCACGGATACGACGCGTCAACTCTATGAGATAGATTATAGTGAGGAAGGAAGACCTCTCTGGTATAAGATGAAAACCCGAGAGGGCCTAGCGAACGTAAATGCACGAATGAGTGAGGTGCTACGGTAATTTATAACGATTGTTTAATCCCTCGTTGATCGCGAACGGGTGGGAGCCAAGACGGTAAATAAAACACAGCTTTGCCGCCTACGTACACAATACCTCTATTACGTCGAGTTCAAGTGTGTGATCGGCTGGCCAATAAGCCGTCTTAATGAACGATGAACTTCCGCTTGAACTTTCATCAGGATAAAAATAGCTCCGGTCATACCGTGGTCTTGGGACAGAGCCGTTACTGCATCGATAGTACAACCTCTACTACGCCATTAGGCGAACTTTCTTTCGCCCCTGTAAAGTTTTCAATAGAGTAAGAACTCATTCACTGTCATCTCATCATCTTCCATTCCGGTTGCTTTTCAATCACGAATTGAGGAAGAATGGAAACATCTTGGGTAGCATAGCAAAACCTTCAAGAAGCACGGAGACTGTTGAAGGAGACAGCTCTCCTTCAGATTTCTCACTTCACTCTCGCAGCAGTACCGAAATGATAGGTCGTGAAGAAAGCCCTTGCGCTTTTCAGCCTCGAATTTCAAACGCATGTATCTCGGCTCTTTCGAAACTTTTTGATTAATAGTAAAGACTGTTAGAATCCACAAACCTCTGCCAATAACAGCTGCGTTGAATCAGCCCGGTAGTGCAGAATACTGGAGCTCTAGAGACGATGAACCCGGCGGAGGTCGTTTCCGCATCATGTTGGTTTTTGAAGCATAACTCTTTGGAGAAGCTATCCAGGTAGTCGAGAAAGTGACAATTATAGGCAAAAGGTCTACCGAGTGAGGATCGCAGCACTAATTCGTAGCCCTGCTGGTTCAACTTGTGCAGCGTTGGTTGTGCAATGCTCGCTCGAGCAACTGACAGGAAGGAGTCCTTCCCTCATAATGAGTACTGCTCACCTCAGCCTTACCTCAACACAGTTTCAGTTAGTGGAGCCTGATCGTGATCAATCCATTCAGCAAAGGTTCGTATGCTGTAGCAAAGAATCCGTTCTTTGTCGTGCGTCGCAAATGATCAAAAAGTCAGGTCGTTTTCATGGCATGAAACAAGCTAGAACGCGGCGAACGACCCTTCAAAATGGTGAGCTGTCGCGGCACGCCCTATTTGAATTTTTGGGACTTTCCAGCTCTTCCCGTACAACAAGAAAACAATGCAAGTGCGATCAGTTTAGGAGGAACCCTCTCAATAGATTTGTGCAAACGTGCTTCAACCAGAACGTTCGGCTAATCGTTGGCGTTGTCCAATCTCCGACCACCACCCTCACAATCTTTAGGGCTCTCGCTATCTTACAAAAGCTTTTGAACAATTGCTTCAGACCATATTTATTGCGAATCTCAGCCAAGTGCATCTATAATATCTTGACCTGCTTCATCTCCTTAGAGGCCTTTTTGAGCTAGAAGAAAAATCATGCAAACTTGCTCCTGTCTTAAAAAGAGATAACCAAGTGATTCAGAACAAAGACGACCCCTTTGTTAAGATAGAGGAGGAAACTCTCCAAAATATAGCCCGGATACAGCTTACTTAACTCGCTTGACCACAAGCGTGCAGCGGATGCGCGTGCCACACTTTGAAGCACAGTGTGGGGAGCCGTGTGCGGCAGTTTGCGCTGTCACACCCGTATGTGGTTTAGATTACTTTTTTTTGACGCAATGCCCCATTCTTAGTAACAGCAATTTTTACATCTAGACTTGTAGATCACATCACAACGTGACCCTAAACGGTGTCGTTGACTGTAAGGTTGAATATTCTTCACTTTAGCAAAGTTTTTCCAGATTTCACAAGCTCTTCAGTTTGGTTCTTTCTCATTTTCATTGCCTTCTCTTGAAAATAAATACAAAAAGAGTAGTAGAAGAATGTACATACGAAAGTACAATCTATAGGTATAGCAGCATATATGTTTCAGGCTGAAACACCAGTCGGTCAATAAAATAACTTTTGAGGCCTCACCACGACGAAAGCAACCAAAAGCATGCTCTTTCGTTGCCATCAACACGGGAAACATTATTGTCTACGCCGAATCTTTCTGAAATTTTGTCCTATCAGTGTTAGTGGGTTGATACATCAAATATCATTGAAACATTTTGTCGCATCCGAGTTTTGGCGTATTTAAAGCTCAAAATTCACGGATTTGATGTGAGGCGGCGGCGCCTGCAAAATCGCGTGGTCCCACGCGGCGCAAAAACCCAAAACGCGCGTTGTCGTCAACGTGTTAAACGGAACAAAAGAAAGGTTGCAAAAAAAGAACACCAA